CTCCAGAGGCAAGGAGCCTCCCCTCCTTTGCTTAAGCTCAGAGATCCATTCCATCAGCAGGCAAAAAGACAATCTCCTCACCTCCAGACTATTTAACAACATCCCAGCCACCATCTGGGCACACATCCAAAGGAAATGGCTAGGCCCTGCTCAATATTTAGGCTGGACAGGGTCTAGCCTAGGCTGGACATTTGAGTTCCTTGCCTTTATTCGGCCCTTGGGATACTATTCTACCAACTGACACCAATGATAAGGAACCATTCCTTCAACTGGCACCCTTAATGGGGCACTCTTCTTCTCACTGACACCATTGATGGGGCACTATTCCTCTTGCTAAAACCAATGATGGGGCACTATTTCTCCCACTGACACCATCGATGGGGCACTATGCCAGACTATTTAAGAGCATCCCAGCCACCATCTGGGCACACATCCAAAGGGAATGGCTAGGCCCTGCTCAATATTTAGACTGGACATTTGAGTTCTTCCTCCCTAAGCTCCAGAAATTCCTTGCAGAGGCAGGGGAGAGCAATCAAACTCCCAGCCTGTGAAATCCTGACCAGACCAAACAATTTTGGCTCCCCAGATTACAGCAGTAGCCAAAAACTAAATGTACCTAGCAGCTTAACTAGGAGGGTGCTACAGAAGGACAGTCACAAAGGAACACTAAGACCACTTTTTGGCTCACTTATGCAACTACCCAAGTATGCCAAGTACAAGCATTAATTCCATGTGTAGCAATGTGCAGTTGAATAGAAGGGAACTGTTATCAGACCACGGAACCCTTAAATGGGCTGCTAAGTTCCAAAAGACCCTTGTGCAGCTGTACAAATGGTACATCCGTCCCTGCAAAAAATATTCTGGCCCTGCCTGTGCAGAGGAAGACAGTACCCAGCATGGGAGACCCAATGAGAATTATTTGGGACTCTTTAATCAGGAGCTAGGACACTACAGAGAAAATAGCCTGCACTGCCCATAACAACCATTTATTGTGCATCAATGTGATGTTAGATAAAAAGGAACTGTATCTAGTCCATGTGACCCATCTGACCCACATCTAGGATAAAAGGATCCATGAATGTATCCACCCCAGGGGCGGACTGACCATTTGGAAACTCGGGCACTGCCCGAGGGCCCGGGATCAGTAGAGGGCTCCATGAGATGCCCCTGGTACCTTTTTTATAGGCTTTTTTGAGTTTGGGCAAGGACACAGGGGCCCCATGATCCCCTATTGCCCGGGGGGGCCCCATGAGTTCTCAGTCCGCCCCTGATCCACCCATTCCCATAGCTATACTACACTACAGATGCTAAAAGTACAGCCCCATTCAAATCTATTGGGACTCATTGTTAAGCCATAGGTAACAGCAGTAAAGATTTCAGGTCGGAGGAGACCACCGCGGAATACAGAGGTAACTAGTTGCTGGGTAAGGCTTGTCTGGGTTGCATTAGGTTAAGATGTTAGTAAAAATGGATTGGTTGGATGTTGTGTTTTTCAAACTTAAATTAATCATATTACAACAAGAACCTTTTTTCTTGCTATCTCCCCCATTGCTTTAACCCACAGGGGGAAAAAAAATTCTGTTTGCATCTTAATCACTCATTTGACAAGCAATCAAAAATATTTCTCCCTGAAAAAAGTAATCAAGTCAACGTCAGCGCAGGAAATAATGAAAGCTTTGCAGAAACACACAATCAGTGCATCACGGAGCCGATTACAATAATTATAAGTGTATACAAGATTCAAGAACAGGTGCGCTGCCTGTCTGCATTGAGCACTTCATTTTCATAAGTGATTTTCAGGCTCCACCAAACAGGAGAAAAATAGACTGAACAAAAGCTAATCAGACATGATGGTACGGAAAGAGAAAATGCACTTTCTGTAGATACAAAAGCAGCCTTTGCTATAGGCAACCAGTAGGTTTACCAATAGGCTATATGTCACCAATAGAGGTTTAGAAAGGGGAGGGTCCCTGCCAGGGGCGGACTGACAACTCACGGGGACCCCGTGTCCTTGACCAAACTCAAAAAAGCCTATGAAAAAGGTACCAGGGGCATCTCATGGGGCCCCCTACTGACCCTGGGCCCTCGGGCAGTGCCCAAGTTTCCGAATAGTCAGTCCGCCCCTGGTCCCTGCAACAGGGCCCCTGCTACAGCCCCTCTAGGCCCTTACTGCCCTTTAGTGGCACAGTAAAGTGGAGCACATCAGCAGAATTGCGGGTACATTCCTTTAATTACTGAGATATGTAAGCGACACAGATTCCAATTAAACACGGCCGAGCCACCACTTTCATTTAATGAACTATAGTACAGGTATGACTTATGTAGGAGGGTAATTAATGCAGCACTTATCTTTGCCATTGTTTACAGAAATATGAATAATGCAGCTTTTATCTCTGAGTAATCTGTGAACAAAACTCTGCTCCAGCTTCTCTCTAGAGACCCTGTAATTCCCCTCTTGGGGGCTGCCTTCGTTATGACAAGGTAAAGCCCCGGGCTTCAACCACAACCTGCACATCAAGGACATCTGTGCCCATGCTGTGATAGCCAGGTGTCAGTGTTCTCTGCAAATATCAGTGGATTAGGGGTGAAGAGAAGGGCTGCTGACTTTTGACAAAAAGTTAACATTTGCATATCATTAATAGAGCTGAGAATGCAGCCTGTTTACTAAAGACTTAGACCAGTGACATCACAAAGATTGCAGACTATCCATTCATTAGAGAGCAGCGACATCATTGAGAGGGCAACCCATCCATCTCATGGAAACCAGAGACTCCTCTGAGAATGCAGCCTATCCATTCACCAGAGACGAGTGACACTATAGAAAATGTAGCCTATCCATATCACTAAGAATGGAGTTATCCACTAGAGACAGGTGACATTACAGAGAATGCAGCCTATCCATTCACTAGAGACTTGTAACATCACTTAGAATACAGCCTATCCATTCACTAGAGACCAGTGACATCACTGAGAATGGAGCCAATCCATTCACTAGAGACCGGTTACATCACTTAGAATACACAGCCTATCCATTCACTAGAGACCAGTTACATCACTTAGAATACAGCCTATCCATTCACCAGAGACGAGTGACACTATAGAAAATGTAGCCTATCCATATCACTAAGAATGGAGTTATCCACTAGAGACAGGTGACATCACAGAGAATGCAGCCTATCCATTCACTAGAGACCGGTTACATCACTTAGAATACAGCCTATCCATTCACCAGAGACAAGTGACACTATAGAAAATGTAGCCTATCCATATCACTAAGAATGGAGTTATCCACTAGAGACCAGTGACATTACAGAGAATGCAGCCTATCCATTCACTAGAGACCGGTAACATCACTTAGAATACAGCCTATCCATTCACTAGAGACCAGTGACATTACAGAGAATGCAGCCTATCCATTCACTAGAGACCGGTAACATCACTTAGAATACAGCCTATCCATTCACTAGAGACCAGTGACATCACTTAGAATACAGCCTGTCCGTACACTAGAGTCCAGTGACATCACTGAGAATGGAGCCTATCCATTCACTAGAGACCAGTGACATCACTGAGAATGGAGCCAATCCATTCACTAGAGCAGTGGTTCTTAACCTGGGTTCGATCGAACCCCAGGGGTTCGGTGAGTCAGTCTCGCGGGTTCGGCGGAGGTGAAGACCCACACCCGACTCATATGATTCGTGCAGTAAATATTCATTATTATGTTTTTTGTTTTTGTGTGAAAATCATGTTTTAATGGTTTTGTTCTTTGTTCTTAACGGTTTTGTTCATTTTGTGCACCTATGTATAAATATATACCTAAATATATACCTATGTTTTGAATTTTAAAAATCATATTTTATTTTTCCAATTAAGAAGGGTTCGGTGAATGCGCATATGAAACTGGTGGGGTTCAGTACCTCCAACAAGGTTAAGAACCACTGCACTAGAGACTGGTGACATCACTGAGAATGGAGCCAATCCATTCACTAGAGACCAGTGACATCACTGAAAGCACAGCCTATCCATTCACTAGAGAGCGGTGACATCACTGAGAATGGAGCCAATCCATTCACTAGAGACCAGTGACATCACTGAGAATACAGCCTATCCATTCACTAGAGACTGGTGACATCACTGAGAATGGAGCCAATCCATTCACTAGAGACCAGTGACATCACTGAGAATACAGCCTATCCATTCACTAGAGACCAGTGATATCAATGAGAGCATAGTCTATCCATTCACTTGAGATCAGTGACACTATGGAAAATGTAACCTATCCATTCACCAGAGACAAGTTATATCATTGGGTATTCAACCTATTGATTAATTAGAGACTGGTGACATCACTGAGAATTCAGCCTATCCATTCACTAGAGACTGGTGACATCACTGAGAATACAGCCTATCCATTCATTAGAGACTGGTGACATCACTGAGAATGCAGCCTATCCATTCATTAGAGACCGGTGACATCACTGAGAATGCAGCCTATCCATTCATTAGAGAGCGGTGACATCACTGAGAATGCAGCCTATCCATTCATTAGAGAGCGGTGACATCACTGAGAATGCAGCCTATCCATTCATTAGAGAGTGGTGACATCACTGAGAATGCAGCCTATCCATTCATTAGAGAGCGGTGACATCACTGAGAATGCAGCCTATCCATTCATTAGAGAGCGGTGACATCACTGAGAATGCAGCCTATCCATTCATTAGAGAGCGGTGACATCACTGAGAATGCAGCCTATCCATTCATTAGAGAGCGGTGACATCACTGAGAATGCAGCCTATCCATTCATTAGAGAGCGGTGACATCACTGAGAATGCAGCCTATCCATTCATTAGAGAGCGGTGACATCACTGAGAATGCAGCCTATCCATTCATTAGAGAGCGGTGACATCACTGAGAATGCAGCCTATCCATTCTCCAGAGAGCAGCTACACAACCAGGAATGAAATAGTAGTTAAGGTTGACTTCTTATTATGTCTCTTTTCTCAAAGCCTGTTTGCCTCACTAGAATAAATGAATGCTGGGAATGTTGTTGCGAAATGAAGTAGCAGTGCCGGTGTCTTGTGAGAACCCACCTTTTTCATCAACATGTAGATATGCATTTGGGCATCATCAAACACATACCGATGTGGGTTCTTTATACCTTCTAGTGTCTTTTCCATTGTCTTGCTGTCAATGTTTACCCAGCGCGTCGCTCCAGGGGCCAGAAACTGCCTACAAGGGAAAGGGCAATGGGAAAAGTTCAGACAGAGAAAACACAGAGTAACATTCTGGAATGTAAATATTTGCAATTATTAAATTAATTTTTTCACTGCCGAGCTGCTAGTTCTATTACCTTATGTGTTTGTAGTATTGTAATTTTAAATAAATTATACAAAATAACAACCATTTGGGCACCCTTTGTCTCAATGGCCATGTTTATAGTTTTTCAGAAATGAATCAGAGAATAGGCTAAGGGTTAATCTGTTCCAATGGACAGATAGTTGACTAGTTGAGTGAAAATTCAAAGTACCAGATCCAGGTGTTGCATGTATGTGATAGTGCTGGACCAATAAAACTGGGATACTGGAACTTTTGGGTTTGACCCAGAAAATGAATCCTCTTTCAAAGGGCTGACAAACAGTAGCTGTGTCATGTAGACAGGACCTTATACCGGTTCTGGACTGCTGCCTCTCTGATAGTCTCAAAAGAGGAATTAGAGTAGATAATTAAGACTTTGGGCTGAGTGTTGAGGAGCATCCAGTTCAAATGGTCATGACACTTCAACAGTTTTAGTCCAAATTTTTAATTGGCAAAGGGTATCAAAAGAGGCCATTGTGTTTTGGGGAAATAAGGAGAGAAGGAGAAGCGCCTCTAAGTGCAGCAGACCCAGGGGCGGACTGACAACTCATGGGGCCCCCAGGCAATAGGGGATCATGGGGCCCCTGTGTCCCTGTCCAAACTCATAAAACCTTTGAAAAAGGTACCATGGGCATCTCATGGGGCCCCCTACTGACCCCGGGCCCTCGGGCAGTGCCCGAGTTTCCAAATGGTCAGTCGGTCCCTGAGCAGACCACTTTAATATAGTATAAAAGTAGGAACACTCACATTTAGGTAGAAATAATACAGGCGTGTTAAGTGTAAGGTGTTGAACACCCAGTAGAACGGCTGTCACTGGTGCCCACTGTGTCCGCGTCTCGCTGGAGCAGCGTGGTATCAGGAGGGAGACAGCTGTGGAGCCGGCCGGCGTGCACGTACTCCTCAATGGCAGCTGGAACACACGCTGGAGTGCAACGTCGGCGTGGGCGTGATGACGTCAGTGACCAGGATGCAATGCGACGCGTTTCGGAGCATGCGCTGGCCTCTAGTGGCAGAAGCATGCTCCTTTGTCATTTGCGCTAGAGTGTGCATTCCAGCTGCTATTGAGGAGTACGTGCACGCTGGCCGGCTCCACAGCTGTCTCCCTCCTGATACCACGCTGCTCCAACGAGACGCGGACACAGTGGGCACCAGTGACAGCCGTTCTACTTGGTGTTCAACACCTTACACTTAACATGCCTGTATTAATCTACCTAAATGTGAGTGTTTCTACTTTTATACTATATTAAAGTGGTCTGCTGCACTTAGAGGTGTTTCTTCTCTCCTTAACACACAGAGTCTGCTACAGTACTATATGGAGCTTGCCCTTAGTGCCATACGGACCCCCCAATTCAAGTCACCCTAACCATCTTTACCTACTATCAGACTGTTCCGGACTTGGTTCCAGTATTTGCCCTGATTATTATTTCTCGTGTTTTGGGGAAATGCCTGTTCATCAGACCTGATGAGATCCTAATCGCATCTCACCTTCAGCCCAACTGTATGCATGACTTTAAGAGCTCAAATTGTACATACAATTGGGCTGATTATTATTATTATTATTATTACACAGTATTTATATAGCGCCAACAGTTTGCTCTGCGCTGTACATTACAATGGGAGACAATACACGAGACAGTACAATAACAATACAATGTGATACACGAGGGGTTTGAGGGCCCTGCTCCTTGGAGCTTACAATCTGGGAGGGAGGGGATAGTGGTACGGGAGGGATAGCTGTGGGGGATGGAGTGGTAGGAAGAGTGGAGGAGGTCAGCAATTAGCTGAGGGCGGGGTAGGCTTTCCTGAAGAGATGGGTTTTCAGGGTGCGCCTAAAGGAGAGGAGAGTAGGTGAAAGTCTGATGGATTGGGGTAGGGAGTTCCAGAGGATGGGGAAGCCCTGGAGAAGTCCTGGAAGCGGGCATGGGAGAAGGAGACCAGGGAACTAAAGAGAAGGAGACAATGGACAGCTTTGTATGTCAGTGTTAGGATTTTGAATTTGATCCATTGGGCAATCGGTAGCCAGTGGAGGGATTGGCAGAGGGGGGTGGTGGATACGGAGCGGTTGGTAAGGTGGATATGTCTGGCCGCAGTGTTCAGGATCGGCTGATGGTGAGATGCGATTATGATGCCTGTAGTTAGGCTTGATCTGAACTGTCAGATCTGTTATCCTGCAAGCTATAACAGATCTTGCAAAATTAAAGCACTATCGTGTCCTTCAGCCCTGATGAAGCAGGAGGTATTTCCCCTGAAATGCAATGCCTTCTCTTGAAACCCTTTGTCAAATAAAAAAGTTGGACTAAAACTCATGAACTCTCGTACTTGGAGCTCCTCAACACTCACCCCAAAGTACCAGATCCATTCCATTTAATGTCTGCAGGGAATGTAAAGTTGCAGCTATACAAAGAGAATCAAACTCAAACAACTTACTCATATACAGACTGCACAGTGGATGTCACTTTCGACTGCTCTCCGTACCTTAATTCTTCACAGGCCTCCCAGAAGAGGAGGTTTTCAGCTGGAAATGTGGGGAACACACATAAGATATTGATTAAATGCTTTAAGAGGCAAAATAAATTTTTATTTCTCCACCAATAGACCTTGTAATAGACTTCCCCTCTATTACTGTTCTGGTAACAACTCAAAATTTGGGATTTTCTTTTACTTTTACTTTCAGTGATAATGGTCATCAGGACAAATGGAGAGGGTGATACTCCCTAATGGGGACACAGATAGCAATAAAAGCCCAACAAGTGGTTTACTCCATCTCCACTCTACCCAAAACAAAAAAAAAATGGTTTTGCTTTTAATTATACCTCAAGTATTCCTATAGAGCTCCTAATGTTGCCACTCCAATGTTTAGATCCAGAGATATACTGTAGGCAGTTGAATTGAATAGAAAACCATGACTTTGCCTGTAAAAGTCAGACTCGGCCGAACCTCCTCATGCCTCCCAGGCCATGCTACTGATAGGGGCCAATATGGAGATTTGGAAGGTGAGATGGGGTGAAGCCTAGATCAAATTTACAGGAAAAGAAGAGCACACACCCCTGACTGTGATACAAACATTTCATTCCAAACATTTCAATCAACACTTTCAAATTCTATGCATAAAATTTCTAGATAAAAAGCATTTATGTAGATTCACATGAGGCTAGCTCGCAGCTAGGGTCAAGGCATCTTACACAGGTCTTCAGGTCAGCCTATGGTCTTTGTTTCTCTCCAACATCTACAAATTCCATCCTCCAGGTTCCTTATGGACTGTTATGGGGACTCTGATGTAATAAAGAACTCTGATGGGGACTCTTATGTAAGGGATTCTGATGTAAAGGGGACTATGATGGGGACTTTGATGTAAGGTGAGACTCTAGTGAGGATCCTGACTTAAAGGGGAATCCACTTGGACTCTGATGTAGGGCAGACTTTGATGAGGACTCTGATGTGGACCTTAATGTAAGGGGGGGGTCTCTAATGATGACTCTCATGTAAGGGAAGACTCTGATGGAAAAGAGGCTCTGATGGGGAATCTGATGTAAGGGGGGGTCCTGTTAGGGACGCGGATGGGAACTCTGATTTAGGGCAGATTTTGATTAATGTAAGGGGGGGAGGGGTCTCTAATGCAGACTCTCATGTAAGTGAAGACTGATGGAAAGGAGGCTCTGATGGGGAATCTGATGTAAGGGGGGGTCCTGTTGGAGACTCGGATGGGAACTCTGATTTAGGGCAGATTTTGATGAGAACTCTGATGTAAGGGGGAGTATGATGGGGACTTTGATGTAAGGTGAGACTCTAGTGAGGATCCTGACTTAAAGGGGAATCCACTTGGACTCTGATGTAGGGCAGACTTTGATGAGGACTCTGATGTGGACCTTAATGTAAGGAGGGGGGGTCTCTAATTCAGACTCTCATGTAAGTGAAGACTCTGATGGAAAGGAGGCTCTGATGGGGAATCTGATGTAAGGGGGGTCCTGTTGGGGACTCGGATGGGAACTCTGATTTAGGGCAGATTTTGATTAATGTAAGTGGGGGAGGGGTCTCTAATGCAGACTCTCATGTAAGTGAAGACTCTGATGGAAAGGAGGCTCTGATGGGGAATCTGATGTAAGGGGGGGTCCTGTTGGGGACTCGGATGGGAACTCTGATTTAGGGCAGATTTTGATTAATGTAAGTGGGGGAGGGGTCTCTAATGCAGACTCTCATGTAAGTGAAGACTCTGATGGAAAGGAGGCTCTGATGGGGAATCTGATGTAAGGGGGGGTCCTGTTGGAGACTCGGATGGGAACTCTGATTTAGGGCAGATTTTGATGAGAACTCTGATGTAAGGGGGAATTCTGATGGGCTCCAGTTTATTTGGAATTATTTTTGCTTTGACTTACTGAAGTTTTTTCTCTGTTTTTTCTGAATCATATAATGCCAAAAAAGCTTTTTCGTTCACTTATGAAACATTATTTTTCGGTCCAGGATTATTTTTAAAAACATACAGTATGGCCCTCATACTTAAATCAGATCCCTAATTTACAATGAAAAGCTTTTTGACAAAAAACAAAGTTCCCTGAGAATGACCTAATTATTCTAAATTTGTCAAACTTGTCAAGTTTGGAGCTGAAGAGCCAAGTTTACATTTTTGAGCATCTTCTAAGTTGCCGTCTCGGTCTGTCTCATGTCCTCTGACACGGAATGTGAATAATGTGTTTTCTTTGTACAAGTGTGCAAGGTCAGGCTTTTAAGGGGAAAGTACTAAACCCAAGCCTTACATTATAGTGCTGGCAGAGGCCTAATGTATCCGACATTTGAGGAAAAACAATGCTTACCGCTAAACTCCTTCTCTAAGAATTGTAAAAACTCCTTGCGGCCTCGCTGGTCATTGAGCGCCTCCATAAAATTAAAGGTCCATCGGTCAATCCGCAGTTTAGTTGGCATTGGTACCCTGGTGATTGGAGAACCATATCAGGAGTGCATATTATCAAATGCATAGTATCTTGATATTTTTGCATACAGAATATAACTGACCTAAAGCAATTTTATCCCTAAATAAAATAAAATAATAGTCTGGCTATAAGGAAAGAGCAATAATATTATCCAGTCATGCTCCTGGTGACTTCAGTCTTAAGCATCTAACACTTCTCATAGTTACATAGTTAGTCTGGCTGAAAAAAGACAAAATTCCATCCAGATCAACCATAAAAAAAGAAGTTATAATCCTACACCCACAGATTGCTCCTGCAGGGGAAAAAATTCCTTCCTGATCCCCCGAGAGGCGATCAGATATTCCCTGGATCAACTTTACCTAGAAATGTTATATCCAGTTATATTCTGTGTATCCAAGAAAGAATCCAGGAGTTTTTTAAAGCAATCCACTGAGCTGGCCACAACCAACTCTTGAGGGAGTCTATTCCACATTTTCACAGCTCTCACTGTGAAGAAACCTCTCCGGGTTTGGAGAGTAAATCTCTTTTCCTCCAGACGTAAAGAGCGCCCCCTTGTCCTCTGTGATGACCTCAGGGGGAATAACTCTACACCGAGTTCACTATATGAACCACTGATGTATTTATACATGGAGATCATATCCCCCCTTATGTATTATACATGGAGATCATATCCCCCCTTATGTATTATACATGGAGATCATATCCCCCCTTATGTATTATACATGGAGATCATATCCCCCCTTATGTATTATACATGGAGATCATATCCCCCTTATGTATTATACATGGAGATCATATCCCCCCTTATGTATTATTATACATGGAGATCATATCCCCCTTATGTATTATATTATACATGGAGATCATATCCCCCCTTATGTATTATACATGGAGATCATATCCCCCCTTATGTATTATACATGGAGATCATATCCCCCTTATGTATTATACATGGAGATCATATCCCCCCTTATGTATTATACATGGAGATCATATCCCCCCTTATGTATTATACATGGAGATCATATCCCCTTATATGTATTATATATGGAGATCATATCCCCCTTATGTATTATACATGGAGGTCATATCCCCCCTTATGTATTATACACGGAGATCATATCCCCCCTTATGTATTATACATGGAGATCATACCCCCCTTATGTATTATACATGGAGATCATATCCCCCCTTATGTATTATACATGGAGATCATATCCCCCCTTATGTATTATACATGGAGATCATATCCCCCTTATGTATTATACATGGAGATCATATCCCCCCTTATGTATTATACATGGAGATCATATCCCCCCTTATGTATTATACATGGAGATCATATCCTCCCTTATGTATTATACATGGAGATCATATCCCCCTTATGTATTATACATGGTGATCATATCCCCCTTTATGTATTATACATGGTGCTCATATCCCCCCTTATGTATTATACATGGTGATCATATCCCCCTTATGTATTATACATGGAGATCATATCCCCCCTTATGTATTATACATGGAGATCATATCCCCCCTTATGTATTATACATGGAGATCATATCCCCCCTTATGTATTATACATGGAGATCATATCCCCCTTATGTAATATACATGGTGATCATATCCCCCCCTTATGTATTATACATGGAGATCATATCCCCCCTTATGTATTATACATGGTGATCATATCCCCCCCTTATGTATTATACATGGAGATCATATCCCCCCTTATGTATTATACATGGAGATCATACCCCCCCTTATGTATTATACATGGAGATCATATCCCCCCTTATGTATGTATTATACATGGAGATCATATCCCCCCTTATGTATTATACATGGAGATCATATCCCCCCTTATGTATTATACATGGAGATCATATCCCCCCTTATGTATTATACATGGAGATCATATCCCCCCTTATGTATTATACATGGAGATCATACCCCCCCTTATGTATTATACATGGAGATCATATCCCCCCCCCCCCCCTTATGTATTATACATGGAGATCATATTCCCCCCCCTTATGTATTATACATGGTGATCATATCCCCCCTTATGTATTATACATGGTGATCATATCCCCCCTTATGTATTATACATGCAGATCATATCCCTCCTTATATATTATACATGGAGATCACACCCCCCTTATGTATTATACATGGAGATCATATCCCCCCGTTATGTATTATACATGGAGATCATATCCCCCCTTATGTATTATACATGGTGATCATATCCCCCCTTATGTATTATACATGGAGATCATATCCCCCTTATGTATTATACATGGAGATCATATCCCCCTTATGTATTATACATGGAGATCATATCCCCCCTTATGTATTATACATGGAGATCATATCCCCCTTATGTATTATACATGGAGATCATATCCCCCTTATGTATTATACATGGTGATCATATCCCCCCTTATGTATTATACATGAAGATCATATCCCCCTTATGTATTATACAAGGAGATCATATCCCCCCCTTATGTATTATACATGGAGATCATATCCCCCCTTATGTATTATACATGGAGATCATATCCCCCTTAATCTCTTCTTCTCAAGAGAGAATAAATTCAGTTCCTCTAATCTTTCCTCATAGCTGAACTCCTCCATGCCTCTTATCAGTTTGGTTTCCCTTCTCCGTACTTTCTCCAGTTCCCCAATGTTCTTTTTGTGAATTGGTGCCCAATACTGAACTGCGCATGTGTTGGATGCCTGCATCCACTGCT